TAATTCGAGTGATCTACATTTGTCGTTGTATTACTTTCGTTGGCTTAATCTTTGTTTTTGTTAATGCTAGCCAACTTTATAGTGAAGGCGCCAGCTAGAAATAATGACCCGGCTAGATCACACCCGCCTTTAACAGCAAAACATCGCTGATGGACGGTGCCGCATAACCGGCACCTTCAAGGTATCTATACAACCTCTGCTCAAATAAACAAGCCTAAAAGCGTCAACTTATACGAAATTATTTATACTTTGGTCCGATGAGAGTATAAAGTGCTTACGATAATGATATTATATCTAAAATGATAGGAAATTTTAGTCAAATAATGACTGAAAATAAAAATCTTAGCTTTGAAGGTAACCTTTCGATACCAATAAATATACACTTAGATAGTGATTTTTACTCGTGAAAAAGGAAAACAGTTTAGAAGAAATGGCTCAGAGGACATTAAGCTCGTGTTAATGACGTGATTTTACAATAAGTTTGATAAGCTCTTTGGACAAATTAATAATTACATTTGCCCCAATAGCTAGGAAGTACTTTTTATAAACGCTACTACCTGAATATGCGAAAATGGTAACGGAAGGCAAAAGTGATACCTTGAAAACGGTCAAACTTCACTTAATTTCCTTGTTGGTTGTATAGCCTTTCCAGTCCTCATTGTTGTTATTAGAAAAATGTTGATTCTATACAAAGTGTATAATATAGAAAATAGCAGTATTTCGTCATATAAAAAGTAATTCTTTACTTGAATGAAAAATGAGTTTTCAGGCATCCTTCAAACTAGCCTAATCAATCGGCCCTGCAAAAAATAATCGAGAATTATGTTTGGCTAGAATGTTATGCTTTTCGTGTCTACGTGGAGAATTCGAAATTTGCCCCAATTGGGTATGTAATGAAAATTCGGGTTTATGCTAAACCAAAGTGCACAGGATTCGAGTTAGTTGCTAATTTTGTTTGGTTATTCTTTATGTATTGATAATTATTATTATAGCAACACGTACATTAGAAAAAACACTTGCGAAGCCAGTCTATTCTGCTTCCCTGGACATGCTCATCGCCTCGCCTTTTCAGCTTCTTCACACGCAAAAATGCTACATTCATTGTTTATATATGACCACTTCAGCATAAGTCTATTTATGATGCAGTCTGCGAATGCACTAGGCTGAAATACCTTCTGCTCGATAAATGTAATAGTTCTACCTAAATCTGCTCTCCATTTCGTTTTATCTTTTACCTCACTCTCTACCTTTATCCTGCTCTGAATCTCTCTTAACACGAGATGAAGCCCAACATCCAGACATCGGCCTGTTTTCATAGTGTCAATGCCTACCACTGCTGCATCTGCAGAACTGCAGCAGCGCCGAATAACGAACACCATTAAAGTTCGTTGACTTTTCTGGATCACAACGATCGCGCAGGCCGCGGCCTCGGCCGCTGCCACACCGTTGGCATCGTCATCTGCGTTTCGCGCGGCCGCCTCAACGCTATTCACTACCTGCCCCCGTCTACCTCATCTACAAGAACGTTGTTGTTACACGAACACCACGCGCGCTGTAGTGCGTCATAGTTTTGGTTTAAGCTGAAACGGCGAAGGGGTAACAGCGCCAGTCGTATTAGTCGCTTGTTGCCATTGTTGTTGTTGGTGTGTTAGTGCTGGTGTTTGAATGTTTACCACAGCATACTTTATATCAGACCACGTTCATCTACCCCGACCAGAGCTCGTACGAGGCCATGCGCGTGGCTGGCGATGTTTTGACCAGTTGATTATCCTCTGAATATGCGCATGCGTATTGAAGCCCATTTTTTCTTGGTGCTGCAAATGGTGTATTTTTCTCCCCATACAAATTAAGAAAACCCATCGAGTTTCTTGGGCTTTCTCTCCGCATAAAGGTTTGTGTGTTCGATTAGGCACGACTTCGTGTGTGATTTCGTGATCCGACCGACGCACGACACAAGTGGGGATAGGTGGTGAATGGACAGATCAATCAGAATGACAAGCTGGCTATGTTACAGTGTCCGAGATGGAAAGGGGCAAAGCAACGAGCAGTGAGCGTAGTCAATTGATTGTAACGACAAAAAGCTCATTGACCAGCAGAATTCCGATTTCCTGTGTCAACATGACAAAATTGTTGATAAAACTAGATTCTTTATTTCTACCGCTTGGCCGCTTGTATTGGTAGACCTCTATCGTAGTTATTTCCTTTTTTCGGCCACGCAAACTCGATGTGTTACGAAAATGATAGACTCACGCGTGTCTACATAAAAATAGTTTCACGCACTGCAATGAGCGTTTTTATCCATGAGCTGCGTCCACGCTGGGTGGTTCTGCTGTCCTAACACACCCATCATAAATCTTCAAGTTTACATTCAGTGTGCTTTCGAGAAATTATACGTGCAAAAGAAAAAAAAAAACACTGAATAATAACTGGAACACAACGAAGGCAAATGAAACAGTAAAGCTGCCGTAACGGCTCTGCAAGAGATTAAGGGCGTCTGTGTGCTGTCGACTTCCTGACAGTCCCATTGAAATATGGCAGTATGCACTCGAATTAGTTCGAGGTTGATGAGATTCAATAGGACTCACTGTTGCCTCAAGCGAGAATGCTCTAGATGGGCATCCGTCGAATTTTCGGCACTGTAGCTTTATGGCTCCTGCAAAAGTCGGTAAGCGTTTGGTAACAGAAGCCCGCTCTTTAGCAACTGATAAATAATTATTACTGCAACAGTGGCGACGCATCTAGCTTATGTATATTTGTACTGCTCGTTTCCTTTCCGGGTACGCTCGAGTTTCGTGATCGTCATACAGTGGTACTATGCTAAATAATTTGTTTGTTTTTCACTTCATTAGATTATCACACGCGGATTAACTTCGAATCCACGTAATTATTCATCGAATCAATGCCTCGATGTACGTACGGTTATGCATACAAAAACAGCGGACGTTCTTCCCTAAACTGTTCCGAATGTAGCAAAAGATACAACTGAAAAAATATGACCTGTGCTGGCCCAACGGACCAGCGCTGTTGCCCATCTCTATAGTGAGGTGAAACATTATCATATGGTAACATGCGGTTTTTTCAATCTCATTTCTCAGACGTCCGAGAACTACAGTGTTAGTTCTTTTTTCTAACCAAGATAATCAAATCGGCAGCACTATCGTCGAAATCTAATAAAAATACCATTGAATTCTTCCACCATCGCTTATCAGTCTGTTTACCTGCTCACCTTTTTGCTCGTAGCTTGACCATAAAAAATCTATTAAATACAGCAAACAAGTGGCACCCGTTAACGTAAGTATGGCGTTGGTTGCCGGTAGAAAATAGAAAACGCCATCATCGGGCAATATCGATGGCAGCTAAGGAGGGACTGCTTGTTGACTAGTTATCTCTGTTATTTCGAATCGATATGGTTGGCGAGCGACGTAAACGATCGATAAAGATGGAAAAACGAGCGGCTCAAAAGAAAAGAGAGTGCCATCAACTGCATTAGGAGATAAGGTCTTCTCCCTTTGTCCACAAGCCCTTCGTCCATAAGCCCTTCGTCCATACCCAGTTTGCCGAATGAATGACGAATCGATAGAATACGAGAAATTAGTTCATCTTTAAAGTGAGCATTTTCCGAGGGCCATAATAACTCAATGATCATTTGCCGACGAGCGATTATTTACACCTGCTACAACGGGGATATACAGATACTACTATGACCACAACAGCGTTTCTTCGAGCAATTCATCGATGCGGCTTAAGGACTTTTTAATGCCAACTCTACACCGTCGAAGCAGAGTAAAAAGAACCTAACTATGAACACGTTTCAGTTTCTGTAACATTTGGCGTAGTTCGGGCGTGCATCTCATACACTCGTGCAGATATACAGAATTCGAATTTTGGGCGAGGACTCTCCGAGAAAGTACTTGACACGATTACCTGACCTTTTGCCAATACGTCGATAGCCGACGAGAAGAGCCATCGGAAGTTGAATACTGAGAAGGATCGAATCGCGCCCAACATGTTCATACATTATATAACACCCTAAGAAGTCATTTTCCACCTTGCTCTTTCTGTGTGGTCCGCGTAGTTGAATTATTGCAGGTCGTCATGATGTTGGCAAGAGAAAATTGTATATACTGCGACGATGCGACCATCCATCGTATCTGTCCAATGGCTGCTGACCTACTATAATAAAGAAGTTGACGCTGTCGACGTCGATCACGATGATGCTCATTTATCCAAATTTGCTGTAACCGTGCCATTGTTACTGTTATGATCTGTATCTTTTTCCAACGTTTCGGTCCCAGCATCTTTTTTTTTTTCATATCAAACATTATTATGATCGTTATGTTTGTCATTGTATAAATCGATGCAGAGGAATTCGAAACGTCACGTCTTCTCATCACGACCCGCTGACGATTCTTCCTTGGGTGAGTAGAACCCAAAATATATTATATATGCGTCATTGCCATTCACGCCAGGTCAAAGCGACGAACGATTCCGTTGGCTGCGGCACAGCGTTTAATGTTGGATTGACAAGTGACCAACGTCAAAATGCTCTGGGTAGCCTAAAACAACCTTACTCGAGAAGAGGTGTCGGGATGAGTTGGACGCCGTCTGTATCGATAAGCGTCGTATGCTGCGTCGTTGACACGTCAACTTTTAACTTTAGCTACTGTTGGACAAGGAACAGACAGGCAGGTAGGCAGGCAGGCGGGAGCCGACGTGACGCGGTTTCCTGACGTGCTCTTCAACGTCTCAGGTACGAACAACATTGGACGGACGTCTCGCGGCGCGTCATGACGTTAGTGGAGGTAGCACGTGAAGAAACAACTGTCACCAACGTTAATTCGAAGAGAAGTGGTAATTATGTGAAGAGTCATGCAGGAATCTAAGAAAGGATTCTGACAAGACAAGCATGTTTGTAGTCCGTGTGATTTGTATATGGGCCTTTCGCAACGCGAAGATCCACATGGGAAATTATTTATTAGCTGGAGCTGTAAAGGACTTACCGGCATAGTTGAAGAATGATGAGTTGTGCACAAAACTTGTATAACTCAACCTCACAAGCCTCTTCTAACGATGTTCCCTTTGAATTCACTTACTCAAATCTACCCACCGTTTTCTATGTTAAATAGCCCTGTACGGTTCGGGATTTCTAGATAAAGCCGATTTTGCTAAACAAAATGTTCGGTACGAGTTGGAAATCCTAACGCCCTTCGTGAAAACTTTATCAGGCCTTGAAGCAAGCCGCTGTCTCAGACTTTTCAAGTTCAGTTTCCACGCACTCATATAAGACTAATACGCTATGCTAACAGCTCACGTAGCTGCTACGATGAGTCGTTCTTCAGCCGCTCCGAGCTGCTGACTACTACGGTTTCTCTCCAGCTAGGAGAGCCTCTGCAGAAAGCTCCACAAGCCGCTGCTCTGGCCACGCCCGGAGTTTCTGCCTTCTCCACTCTACAGTGACACCTTGCCTACGCCAGACAAGCACTATATTGTGCCGGTATCGTCTACACATGTAAAGTTGAGAACTATTTAATTACCGACCAGATGCATGCAAAATGACTATCGGCCCACTGTAATCAACTTGTTGAAGGATACACTTTTCAGTAGTTATCCATCACCACCATTGTAGTTGTTGGTTATTGTACAAGCCAATTCTCATTCAGGTAGAGCTGAGCTGGTTAAAAAAAGGTTCACTTCGGGACACGACGACAACAAGGCGCCATTTGATGTGTTTCGATCGAAAAATTGCACTAGTTCGATCTCATTTTTACTATTAGAATTTATGAACGTCAGACAGACCCTAGTTTTTTTCGTCTATATATATATATATATATATATATATATATATGTGTTATGCCATAATAGCACCGACTAAACGGTGCTTGTGAATACTTTAGTAAAGAGCAGTGATTGGTCGTCCGGAGATAAATTATCTGAACAAATAACAACCTCTAATTTTGAGGTCTCAGACGTTCAACACAGCATTGAATTTACAAATGATCATCTTTCGCTTCAGACTTCTGATACTTAATGAGACTCTTCTGTCCCGTAAATGCGTAACTAATAACAAGCGGACCGTCCTTCCGATGTTATTACACAATACTGAAATGAAAAATACTTGTGTGGAATCATCGTCCACCCACACACACGTACAACGCACTTATTTATCACAATAATCTTCCAGCACGAATGAATTACTACACCGTCGTTGGTTACTGCAAGGATTTCCGTCCGCCGCTTCATCCTCCTGCCAACCCAGTCGACACACAGAGCAGATATACTTTCCCGCTAAGTCAAACTTCATTGACCGCTGCTCTGCCTCAACACTAAATTAGTCACCAAATGATCAACACTTGGATGCCCGCCAAATTCAAAATTGATACAAACAAAAACAAAAGTCCTCTTCTCGCCCTTCACCACTCTCCAGACAGTGATGCTTTATACGAAGTTAACTTTATAGGTATTTCGCAGTTCCACCGTAAAGCCCCTATAAAAGCTGTGTCACCCGAGCGAGTGATAGCACTCTTTTCCAGCGAAGAATCACATTTTCTGGTAGCCGTATTGCTGAACATAGTGTAATGACACCGTGTCTAGTAGTGCGCATCACTTCTAATGGGTGTGTATTTGGCGATGTGTTAGCCATTAAACTCGAATGTATTATACAGAAAGAGCGTGCTTTGTAAATCGCCATAACATTGGTCGAAGGACATCTACATTCGTTGGTAACGCAGTAGACAATAGAGCCCTGTAGACAATCGAAGCACATTGTTATAGTCGTATTTAGCATGCAGCATAGCGCGTCAAAAGCATATCACAAAACGGTGACGTTTCTCTGAAGACTTCAATCCGTCACGCTTGATCCTGTTATTCCTACATAAAAACGCTTTTGAGTTTCTTTCTCATTCTTAAAGGGCTATTTAGGTAATTTATATAGATATAGAGATGTAGGTATAGAGCCAAAAGCTGATATTCTACTATGTCACAATAGACGGTCAAAGCAAAGGGGAGTATGTGAGTCATTCATTTCGGAAATTATTTGGTCATAGTAATGTGGCAATCACTCCTGTTTCGGGCAGCCTATCCCTGGTACGTAGGTTCAGATCGAAGCGTGTCCACCAGCCTCTAATCCACAACATGGACCGTATGTGTCTTTGAACCAATGAAACATCCGCTTCTGGAATATTTAGCTCATCTACTCAACTCGACCCAGCCTAAAACAGTCAAGGTTTTCCGACGGTTCAGCAGACATCTTGTCACCCAAATCACTATGCGGTTGGTGCATATATAGCCTGCACCCCTATGTCATGTGAGTCCTCCAGAGAGGCCCGCAGGGCTATTTTTGGTACCGTCTCTTCGTATCATGACGCTCGTTAGATTAGCTATTTGATCAGCGATACTCATGATGGCATTAGCAGATTCGTTGAAACTCCTGCAAAATCGATTTCGTGCACGCCATGAATGAACCGAGAAGAAGAGCTTACAACTCTAATCCTGGGACACACACTACATATGGGATCCTGATCCCTGAGCTGCTGTAGCGGCGAAGAAGCCCAACTATTTGGCGCTAACTCATCCAGTATGCAAAAAATATCCTTACGGAAAACGTCATAAAGAAAATTACAGACGTTTCTATTAATTAGTTAAATTAGCCAAGCAATACTTTCGAAGCGTTTCATTTCGATGTAGCTCCGAAGAGAAATCCTGGTGCAGATGGGGTGTGCAAAATCTTTGTTTTGGCTTGTTCTAGAAAATACAGTATAACAATAGGGATTGATGCGCCAGCCTTGTGGACGATCTTCACGTAGCAGACCGCTGCCAGCCTTCATTCTGAATCGGTTGTTTAGACCGTATTGATTAATTTTCCTCGTTGTATAACTAATAAAGAATGTCCGCTACAAGCATGGGCCAGTTTTTGGTAGGCCTATGTGTTACTTAAATTGTATCTCACTTTTTTGCCACTCTGGTTCAAAGGTTGATATCGAAACTTTCGATAGAACTGAAAAACTCAATATCTACTCGTATCAAAAGACAGCTATTGCTTTGAGTTGGTAGCAATTATTATTATGATTATAATTAGTAAACATAGACGATAATTTCAGAGAAGCTAGTGTTTGCTGTTAAAAAATGAAGCTTCAAAGAAATTTATCGTGCATCTACACATACAGAGTGTCGGCTATTGTTCGCGTACTGAGATATTATTTTCAATCACGATAACGAACTACGAGATAATAGTAGCTAACTGAAATAGCAGAAGACGGGGTGTCCTCGTCGCTAGACTGACAGGGTAACGCCATCCAAGTATCTGATATTATTATTGTCAGCACAAAATGTAGATCGCATCTCCCGTTTGTGTATGGCCATTGGAAGGAAGCAATGATGCTCACCCTCAGATTACTTAAACAACAAACTATTATGGATTATCCAATTTTACACCTAACCTTTACCTTGCGCAACTGCCAGATTAGAAGATCAGCTAAATCATACTATAGTTTATGTGTGTTTATAATTTTTAATGAAGATAAATACAACTTCAATAGCATTGTCGACGGTGACCGAAAGAATTCTGGTTTGTTCATTAAAGCGTGGTCCTCCTTCTGCAATCGTTACCCTAGCCCTTAGTGAATTTTTAGTTTTTTCGGCTACTCGATTTTTCGGCTACTATTTTCACTCGAGACCCACCCACTGTGTTTTTGTTCCAATCCATTTCCAGATGAAATATCCATTACCCCTTCGCTTCTGATTTCCACACATGATCATGCACAATATCCGTATTAGAATTATCCGTTTTTTTTTTTTATTGGTCCAGTAAGCCTGATCTTCCATTCTTAAATTGACCCTTCGTTTCCTATAAGAGAAGCATAACAGTTGCTGCTCTAACGCCACATAGACTGCCGTCAATAACCTAGACTGTAATAACTGGTAACTGCAACAATAGCCACCCGACGGTACGTTAAGACATAGTCTAATTGTGTGTTATTTAGATATCGTTCATTTCGAGCTTGACTTGATGCTCACTACTCAATACTGTCAATATGTCATACTACGCTGAGCTACGCCATAGATATTTTAATACGGGATATCGTAGTAGTTACGTCCATTTATGAATACTTAGCAGGAATTTTTCCAAATGCCCCCAAACCCAAGCCCGAATAGTAAGGTAACTTAGTTATCTTTATGCCGTAAGTAACCATTCGAGTATATAGTTGAGGGCTAAATAAAGAACGTTATATGATATGATTGGCGACGTTTCGTATAATAGGGTGTAACTACACTATATGATGTACTTCTATAAAGAGTACTAGGTGCCATATTCTATACGTGTGTGCGTGTCTGTGCGATGCTTGTCACTTGGCTAACGATAGCAGTCTACCAATAAATAGATTCAATACACAATATTTAGCCTACATTCAAACGTGTGCAGGCCGAATGCACCGAGGGCATCGTTTCTAAGCCATTATTATAAATGTGCGCCTCTAACTTAAGCTCAGATACTTCATTTGTCTTTGTTTGAGCCGAGCAGAAACTGGATAGTTAACCTTATCTTTGTTTGTACTGAGCGATCAGAACGATGATAGCAATGTCGGCCATTATCATTATGATGATCGGTATCTGTATCTTTGCGCGTTCTTATCGTAGACACTTCAGAATACTTCTTCATCATCAATCGATTTTAGCTCAATTGACACAATTTTAATAATGTACACGCCATTTTTTTAGGGGCACAATCCGTCCCTCGGAGACGGTAGTTTTGGAGAGATTAGCTAGGTAGGTGTCGGCAAAACCTCTGAGCCCAAAGTCAAATAAGTTGGATTAATTATCGCCGCTGTCGTATTTTCTCATATTTAGTGGTTATTATTTTTAGCCAATATTCGAGTAGGTCTACCGGCGAAACTAAATATAGACTCATCGTTATCGATGTCGGACCGCTCGTTAGGAACTTTACGTATATACTATAAATCTCAAGTTAATGCATGAAATCTCTGACAGTGATGATCCAGTGTTAATAAGCCAGTACATTCAGCATCGTATCTATCGCTAACGTGTCGTCCAGATCCGTTCGGCACTTTTGCGATTTTAACTTTGGTAATTAGCTTCGTCCGAACACGCAAACAATGAACGACTAACTTCATCAGAGATTTGAAGTTGCAACATTGTTGTCTCCTTAAACTCAACGAGTCAGCGGGACGACGCCGATGGATAGACCAGCAGCTGAAACTGTTGCGGCTACAGAAAGTCACCGAACTTCACAAGAACAATATAGCAAGAGAAGGGGACAGGAACGTCTCAAGAATACTGAGTTATCGTTGTTATCGCCCTCCTCTTAAAATGTGTGGCTTTTACGTCTCCCACTGTCCTCTTCCTGCTTTTCCTAGTATGCTTCCTCTTTCTGCCCGCCAATCATTATTATGATTATTCGTACTGTCGTGATTGTCTTTGTGAGGCGTCCGCGTGAGTGTGAAACGAGAAGCAGCAGCTCAAACTTCAGCGTCCGAACCATCAAGCTGTTGTTGCCGGTAAGCAAAAAAGGCGTTGCGAGTTGGCGCGATAAAATTTACATTTACAATACGGCAACAAAGGTAAAAGGATAATCAGCCGATGGCAGAGCCTGGAGGGTTGCCACCGGAGTCAGCAGTTTCTTCGATGACGAAGACGGTAACAATAAACAAGAAGCTAAGCCCAAGTTGAATAACCCGGTCGGACGAACGCA